CTGCTGCACCTGCTGCACCTGCTGCAGCAGCTCCTGCACCTGCTGCAGCTGCTGCTGCACCTGCTGCAGCTGCTGCACCTGCTGCAGCAGCTCCTGCACCTGCTGCACCTGCTGCAGCAGCCGCTGCACCTGCTGCACCTGCTGCAGTAGCTGCAGCAGCAGCTGCAGCAGCTGCAGCAGCTGCTGCAGCAGCTGGGGGGTGGGTGCAGTAAACGCAACCCTGTTGGGGTGTACACGTGTCAGTAGAGAGTAAATGCCGTTTTATGTGAATTCCTGCATCCACACAAACATTTATTTATTTATTTATTTTTTTTTTTCATTTCAATAAAATTTGTTTGTTTTTATTTATGTTTGTGTTTGTTTGTGTTGCTGAGTTTCTGTGTTTTCTGTCTATGCACGGGGTGTATGTGCAGCTCGTGCGCGCGTGTGTAAGTATGTATGCATATGCACATGTATGTATGTGTGTTTGTTTTTTTTGTTTTTTTTGTATTAAATATATTAAAAATAAATTATAAATATAAAATAAATAAAATAAATAAAAAGTTTACCGCCATGATGCATGTGGTATCCTTGTATCCATCGATAATATTCTGCAATGTATCTAAGTCAAAACAAAGTGCATCCTCTTTGCTTCGTGAGCTGCCTGTACACTGCAGCGGCTCCCCGCAGTCATCTACACATTCTTCTGCTGCAGCAAAAAAGTTTAAATCTCCAGCAGCACAGCACTGCCACACACCCACGAGGGTGCTGCTGTCGTCGTTCGTGCTGCTGCTTCTGCTGCTGCTGCTGCTCATGCTACGCCCCCTTCTCACTTCGTTGCTGCTGCTCTCGCTGCTACCCGTGTCAGTGCTGCTGCTGCTGCTGCTGCTGCTGTCGCCGCTGCCGGTGTCAGTGCTGCTGCTGCTGCTGCTGCTGTTGCTGCTGCTGCTGCTGCCGTCGCTGCTGCCGGTCTCAATGCTGCCGGTGTCAGTGCTGCTGTCGGTGTCAGTGCTGCTGCCTTCAGTGCTGCTGCTGCTGCTGCTGCTGTCACCGCTGCTGCTGCTTTCAGTGTTGCTGCTGCTGCCATCGGTGCTGCTGCTTTCGGTGCTGCTGCTGCTGCCATCGCTGCTGTTGCTGCCGGTGCTGCTGTTGCCACTGATGCTAACATCACCGCTGCTGCTGCTGCTGTCTTCATTGCTGCTGCTGCTACTGGTGGTTGTGGTGGTAGTGGTGCTGCTTGTGCTGCTGCTGCTGCTGCTGCTGCTGCTGCTGCTGCTGCTGCTGCTGCTGCTGCTGCTGCTGCTGCTGCTGGTGCTTTTTCTGTGTGTTTTTCTCGCCAGAGCCTCTCTACAATAAAGAGAAGAACCATCGCCTGAGTTTGTCTCTTCTCGGCATCGATAAGCAAAGGCAACGGCACACTCGCCATCTAATATCTTTTGCAGTGAACTGCGATTCACTAACCCACCAACCTGCACAAACCCTAAACCCTAAACCCTAAACCCTAAACCCTAAACCCTAAACCCTAAACCCTCGTATACAAGCTGAAACATTCGTATAAGAACGTAAACCCTCAAATATTTCATCCTAGGCGATTGTTTATTATCCTAAACCCTTATTTATAATCATTAACTCTCATAAACCCTAAACCCTTATAAACAATCCTAAACCCTCAATAAACCCTAAACCCTTCTACACCCCTTTATTAGAGTGTTATCCTCTCTTCCTCCTAAACCCTAAACCCTAAACCCTAAACCCTAAACCCTAAACCCTAAACCCTAAACCCTCTCGTTTGCTCTCCCATTGCTGTGCGCTGTGTTTCTTCTTCTTTTTGCTCGCCTTTCTAGGGTTTAGGGTTTAGGGTTTAGGGTTTAGGGTTTGTGTGCGTTACCTTTGCGGTATGTATCTGGCAGGATTGTGGTGTGGCTTGCTGCAGCAGCAGCTGGAGCTGCTGCGGCTGCTTAAGTAGGTTAGAGATTCTATCTTTTGGTGCTCCTGTGCAGGATATATTTTGTCTGCAGCTGCCTATACACCCGAACCCATATTCATCAACTAAAATACCTTTTTCTGATAAACAATTTATGCTGCTGTCTGCTGCTGTCTGCCGCGCATATATTGTGGGGTCCCAGCAGTGTAATATATCTCCCGCCCGGCATTCAGCTCTATTCAATACAGAACACTCAGCATCCAGCAGCTCCTGTACGCTGCCAGACGCTGCAGCAGAACCCTGAAGCACACCACCACCAGCAGCAGCAGCAGCAGCGGCAGCAGCAGCAGCAGGGGGAGGAGGGGGAGGAGGAGGGGCAGCAGCAGCAGCGGCAGCAGCAGAAAAAACGGGGAAATTACACGGCAAGGGGAGAGAAAACAGCAGCAACAGCAGCAGCAACAGCAGCAGCAGCAGCAGCAGCAGCAAAATGCAGGAGTAATAAACATAAACAACAACAGCAGCAACAGCAGCAACAGCAGCAACAGCAGCAACAGCAGCAGCAGAAACTCTACACAAAGAAGCAGCTGGTGTTCGCTGTATAGATAGAGTAGGCTCCTGCTGTCTGTCTATACACCCCAATCAGCAGCTGGGGGTTTAGAGAGAAAAAGAAAAGAAGTGACGCACCTCTGTTGCTGCAGCACACACACAACACAATATAATTAGGGTTTAGGGTTTAGGGTTTAGGGTTTAGGGTTTAGGGTTTACGGTTGAGGGTTTATAAACTGTAGGGTTTAGACACAGCTGAGACAGCAGAAACAAAAAGCTGCAGCACTTACAAGGTTCTTCTGCATGCGTCGAATCTGGCAGCAGCAGCAGCAGCAGCAACAGCAGCAGCTGCAGCAGCAGCAGCAGCTGCTGCAGCACCGTGTGCCGCGCTGCAGCAGATGTCTTCATTTTTCTTTTTTTTTCTTTTTTTATTATTTCTCTCATCCAGGGGGCGCGCGAGATGCCGAAGAGCCAGATGACACTTAGGGTTTAGGGTTTAGGGTTTAGGGTTTAGGGTTTAGGGTTTGAAAGACAGCATTTTAGTGGTTATATATAAATATATGAAGGAGTTGTAAACTGCTATAAAAAAAAAAAAAAAAAAAAAAAAAAAAAAAAAAAAAAAAAAAGCGGACTAGCGGTGCGGCGGCCGTCTTTGCGGTGTATACGGAGGTGTTTTTTTTTGTTTTTTTTGTGTATATTATAAATAAATTAAATTAAAAAGAAAAAAACAATAAATAAAAACACAAATATAAAAAGAAAAAGAAAAAAAAGTTCATCTGCTGCTGTCTCGTCAGCTCCTCGCACCACTGGCCTCTCAGGCCCAGGACCGCTGGTGCTGCAGTGGTGTTCTTTGTTTTTTTTTTTTTATTTGTTTGTTTTTTTTTATTTATTTTTATTAAACCTTTTTATTTATGTTTATGTACATGGTGCAGCACTTCCTCCTCACCTACTGCTATATATCTACTTCTATGTGCTGCTGCTGCTGCTGCTGCTGCCGCTGCTGCTGCTGCGGCGGCGGCTACTGCTGCTGCTGCTGCTGCTTCAACATGCATGCAGTCCTTCGGTATAGAGGCTCCATATACAGCACTTGCTTGGGTTTCATGCAGCTA